GGCAGCCGCCAGCCCTGCCAGGCCGCCGCCAAGGCCACCAGCAGCAGGAGCAGGGGCGATGGCGGCCGCCGTGGGCGCCGCGCCCACTGGGACGCCAGCCCCTGCACGGCCCGCGAGGTTGACCACGATGGGCCCGACGGGCATCGCACCCGCCATCGCGCAGGCGGCAGCACGGGCCGCGTCCGCCGCGGCAGGCAGCGGGAGGTGCTGGAAAGTCGCAAACCTCGTCGAGCGCCATCGCGACGGCCGGGGCCTCGAGCGCGCCGTGCGGCAACATCGTCCACTCCGAGATGTTCGCGACGTCGGCGAGGTCCTCGTCATAGTCGTCGCGGTCGGGAATGAGGACTCCGATGAGGAAGACGCCTCCCGGCACCAGCGCAGTCACTTAGCGTGCGGTGCCAGAACCGACGGCCACGCACTCGATAGCGGACGGCAATGAAGTCGCCATCGGCGAGGCCCGCCGTCTCGAGCTGGTGGAACGCCATGGCGTCAGCAGCGGAGGGAGGTGGACCGACGAGCTGCGACCTCCGCCAGCTGAGCCCGCGCCTCCTGGGACAAGTCCGCCAGGACGGGCGCGGGGCTCGACAGCACAGGCGAGGCCGAGGGGGCGGGCGCCAGCCACCGCTGCACGCTCATCACCGCAGCGGCACCCAGGGCTGCGCCGAGCCCGAGCAGGGCGAGGCAAGCCCCCCGCGTGGGCCACGACCCGCTCGCCCCCAGCTCCCGCGGCACGGCGCCCTCGGCGCAGGAGAACACAGGCGCGCAATGGCAGGCGCAGTCTGGACAGGGGACAGCCGAGAAGCGAACGGCGAGAGAGGTCGAGACGCCCCTGCTTAACTCGGTGAGCAAGGGATCCATGGAAACCTGGGCTCCCGAAAACTTTGAGCACATTAGCGTCGGATGTCTAACGACCCGAACGAGACGGGCTGACATCCGAATGCGTCCGTATCCCCGACTGTGCTAAGCTTCAAGCTGTTAAAACACCCATACCCCGAAGGGGGCACGATCGAAGACGAAGAAGGCGGACCATTGTATGTTTTCAAGTGGAATGCTTCTCCACGGGTTAGCACCCTGTTTCTAGAAGGGAAAGCGAGGAGTCACCAAACTGCACCCCTGGCACCCAGCTTATAACAGCAGCGGCTCCCGCCAAATACGTCCCCACAGAGAATTCCCAAATCGCGTTCTCGCGCGGGACGTCCTCACAATTTATGTAGGATTCGGGTTTTCGCGTGGGACTTCCTCGCAATGTATGCAGACGCCGCGCCCTCAACACTGAGGAAACACGCTCTCGTTGTGGATCTCCTCGCGATTTATTTGGGGATCGCGCTATCGTTCGAAACGTCATCGCGAGCCATGAAATCATCACGCTTCAGCAACACACCTGCTCGACCTGGCCGCTTGGGCCCGCCTTCCCAACCCGCCCGTTAGGGTCTACCCGCCCGATCAGCCCGTCTGGTTCTGCCACGGGTTTTCTGCTCTTAACCCCCCTCCTGCTACTGTCTCTCGTGCTCCATCCTCCTCCCTCACCCTTGTCCTGTCCTTCCATCCGTCATCTCTTCCCCTGCCTTAGGGGCTGCACGAAATACACGTTGCAGCCAAGATACATATATACATATGTATAGGTATAGGTATATGTATATGTATATGTATATGTATATATATAGATGTATATATATATATGCATATATATATGTATATATGTATATCCATATTTACATATACACAAACATCTATATAGTACAACACGGCACCGCGGGACGGCACGGCGCCTTGTTGAACGGGATCGTGAGATGGCCCCGCTTGGGCCCGACTGCTCGGCACGGCACACTCAGCGGGCACAGGCACATCCATGGCCCTCCACTCACCAGGCCCCACGGGCCATGAGGTATGGACGTTGGATCCCAAGGCAGACGCGCCCGACCATGCCAAACACACGATTTGAGCGAAGGAGAGTTTCTCATGAAAAACCATCTGGGCCCGACAAGGCCCATACCCTAGAGGGCAAGTGTTAAATATATACCTCCAAAGGGGGCGCGATCGAAGACGAAAAGGGCGGGTCTCGAGGGCTTGGAATATACGTCTTAAATGGCCCGCGAGCTGATAAATATGGGCAGTCTTAAAACAAACATGTTGGTGTTGCTGTTGTTGTTGTTGCTGTTGCTGTTCCTGTGGCTGTTGCTGTTGCTGTTGTTGCTGTCGACGCCGGCATCGGTCGTCGTCGTCGCAGGCGTCGTGCATCGCTCGTCGTCGCTCGTCGCTCGTCGCTCGTCGCTCGTCGTCGTCGTCGTTTGCTGGCGGCGGCGACGACGTCGTCGTCGTCGTCTTCGTCGTCGTTGTTGCCGGGGGGGTCTCTGGATCTCCTGAATAATTTTGAAAAATGGTCCCGCGGGGCCGCGCGGGGGGGGGGGGATGAAGGACCCACCGGATCATGTCCTGTGTGGGTGGGGGGGGAGGAGTCCGGACCCCCCCTACCCTGATTCCCTCTCCAGGCAATGTGAAGGGGCGTCACCTCTATGGGAGGTCGCCATATCCTCCAGGAAACGGGCCCCCTGAACCCCCAGAACACCCCCAGGACAGGCAAATAGAGACGCCCGATCACGTCCTGAACCTCCTCGATTCTCTCCCCCCTCCGCCCCGACCCTCGAGTTCCAGGGAGAGGTGGTGACCCCTCCAGTGGTGACCCCCCTTGGCAGTGCCCGACCCCTCTCCTAGAAGAGGAACGAACAAACATACGTAAACTGTCGGATGTCCGCGCGGATTTCCTGGATCGGCGCTGACACCCTCCCTGGCGCGCGGAGGAAGAGAGCCAGGGGCTGCGCCCGAGGCACCGCCAGGGGACCCAGCGCCAATTCAAGAAATCAATGCGTACCTCCAAAACTTACATATGTTGGAGTGGTTGCTATTATTCGATATCTTCTCCTTCACTGACATTCCCGGGGTCTTCTGGAAGTTCCGTCTCCTCATCCCGACCAGTTTGTTGGCGGCTCTGGGGCCCAGGGGGCGTCGCTTCTCATCTTCTCTCTCACCCAGCCTGGGCTTCTCCTCACCCGGTCCTGGCATCTCCTCGCCTGCATCATCGTGCTCTCGCCTCCGTTCCCGCGGGGGGGGGGGGGGCCGACGGAGTCGCGGCAGCCTCGGGGATTTCCTTTATGCAGCTGAGCGGCCGCGACTCGCGGGCCTTTTCCATTTCGGCCAGCCTCTTGTAGTACGCGGCGTTGTCGGGATGCTGGACGGACAGGTGCCACGGGTTGGTCGGCTCCTGTGGGATCGCGAGGGCGTTAAGGTGAGGTAAGGGCAGAGGTCGGAGTAGAGGAACTACCATTGGAAGGAAATATCAGCCTCAAGTTGGGTTGGTCGACTCGTGTGGGAATGGTGGAGGGGGGAGGGGGGAGGGGGACTAGAAGATACATCTGCATAAACCCAAATGTTCGGAGGTCCGCGCGGAGTTCTGGAATCGGCGCTGCACCTCACATGGCGGCTCCTCCAGCGTCGCCCCTCGCGCGCTTCGCGCGCCAAGGAAGGAGGCCCAGCGCCGATCCAGGAAATCCGTGCGGACCGACCTCCGAAAGCTTGTGTCTATCCCGGTTTGTCTTCTTCGAGGGACAGGGGGGGGAGAGGAGGAGAGGGGCACGCGGGGGAGGGGGAGGGGGAGAGAGAGAGAGGGAGGAAGGGAAGGGGGGGAGGGGAGGGGCCGGTCGGCTCCTGCGCTTTTCTCAGGTTGGTCTGGGACTGAACGAACGAGTCGTAGCCGACCTTGCAGGCGGCGCCGGCACGGCCAGAGGGGGGAGCGCCCCGGCGGCAGGAATGGCCAGGAGCCAGGGCGAGCGCAAGGATACCAGGCCCCTCGCGAGGCGCCGCCCGCCGCCCCTCCCACAGCCACAGCCACAGGAGGAGGAGACTGCGAGGATGCAGGGACGTCCACCGAGAAGGACGAAAGGGTGCCGGACGAAAGGCTCGCCAGCCCTCGCTCAGCATCTCCCCCGAGCGCGCGGCACGAACCGAAAACGAAGCCGATCTTCGAGTTGGGACTTCTCGCCTACAACCTCCGATCAACAGCTGCTGCTCACCGCCCATTACCCATAATCTCGGTTGGACTCGAGAACCAGCTGTCACGTGTGCGGTGGCTCGGCCCCCAGACTGCTCGCTGACAAGTTGTTGCAAACCCCTAGCCACCAGGGCACCAGGGCCTGAGTGGATTAGTGAGGGTCCCTCGCGCAAGTTGTATAAATGGACGCCTGCTCTCTGACTCCAAGACGCTTGGTTTCAGCGAGGGGTGGGGGGACACTGATTGTTTTAGGTTTGGGTGCACCGCCAGACTTGAGGTTCGGGATGTGTCAGAAGACTGCACCAATCAAGTGGGGTACTGTGCCAAGCAGCAGCTGGCCAGAGTGGGCAAGCTCAAAGCTTTCCCCATGTGTCTCAGCGGTTGCCGCAGAAAAGATGCTGAATTACAAGGTTGATGCGTTGATGGATCAACTCGCCTGAGGCTGGAACTAACAAACTCTTCATTCTCCCTCTCCTCCTGGTCTTCCTGCCTCTCCTTCTGCTCCTCCAATTCCATGCAATTAAAATAATCGTCCGAAATTGTCTGACCCCATCTGGAACGTCGGAACGGTGCGCCCGGGTTGCGCACCCGCGGGCCTTCACGCTCAGCATGTTCGTCAGCCTCCTCGGCAGCGGCATTTTCATGTCAATGTTCAGGAGGAGGACAATGAATGTGCTGTTCTTTCCCGTCTGTCTGTCCTTCCCCAGTGGAACGCTAATGCTGACAGACTTCTCGATGACGCAGCGGATGACATTCTTCTTGGTTGGGGGGACAACGAACTTGAAGTCCTCCCGCGGTCTTGGTGCATGCCGCCTGTTCAAGCTATACCCTGTCTCGTCGTTTACATGCGTGATGTCCTGAATCAAGAACTCGCGGGCCTGGAGGAGTGGGGCCCTGAACGAGTAGTAGGCGACGACTTCGAACGGACTCTTTTCCTCGAGGATTTTGGACTCCTTCACGCCCCACATCCAGTCCTTCAGGAGACCAGCACAGCACCCGCCAGTCCAACCTCCTCCTCCTCCTCCTCCTCCTCCACCTCCACCTCTTCCTAGACTGCCCGCCCAGACCCTCAGCGAGGGAGTAGGGGAGGAGGAGGAGGAGGAGGAGGAGGAGGAGGAGGACCAGTGATAACCCAAGACGCATCAACGGTGTTGCAATAAGCCCTCCCTCCAAGTTCCCTCATAGGCCCCAACAGGAATTTATCTTCACTGCGGGAAATGCGACGTTGAAGGGCAACCGTCTGAAAATCATCAACCGTGCCAAAAGACCTTTCCTGGAACTTCAACGCTGCGAATCAACTTTAATGTTGCATCCTCCTGACGACCCTTCATCGTGCTAGGACACCGTTCCTGGGATTTGAACACCGCAAATCAAAGTGACTGTTGTGCCTTGGCAATCTTAAATCCTTCCAAGACACGATTCCTGGGACGTCAGCCGTAATAATCCTTGAACCATCCACAGAATATAAGCTCGAATGTGCGCGGCGCTAAGGCGAGAAACACATTTTGAAAAAGAACCTCCCTCCATCCGTGAAGCTCAGGGAAACGTTTCACACGAATGCGTACGGCGCTAAAGCGATAACTACATGTTCAAAACGGCCCGCCCTCCAACCGTGAAGCTCTGGCGAACTGTTCAAAACAATGCACGCGACGCCAAAGCGAAAACCATATTTTGAAAACGGTCAGCGTTTTCTTCGTGAAGCTCTTGCGAACTTCTACGACGAATGTTCGCGCCGCTAATGCGAGAACCATAATTTGAAATGTTCCGCCCTTCATGCGTGAAACTCTTGTAGTTCTAAGAGCTTCAGGATCAGATGTGAAAAGGAAGTCTCAGGCGAAACGCCCGGCCCGCCCTACCGACGCGTCTCGGGGTGCGAAAGGGAGGAATTATACATATATACATAAAAATAAGTAAACGGAATATGGATGGATGATGATGGGGACGACGACGACGAGAAGGACGAAGCAGACGAGAAGGGATGGGAGAAGGAGGAGACCGATGAGGACGAAGGATAAGAGAATGATGAGGAGGATGAGAGGAGGATGATGAGAGGAGGAGGAGGAGGAGGAGGAGGAGGAGGAGGAGGAGGAGGAGGAGGAGGAGGAGGAGGAGGAGGAGGAGGAGTGCGAGGGGGAAGGATGTCGAGGAGCCTGAGGAGCCTGAGGCGGATGTGACGTTGCCGACTCTAAAGACCCTGGATCCAAGCATGTTGACGTATCCCTTGTACTTGTCCCACCGCCTTCTGTCGGCCTTCCGCCGGCGGGCCGGCCGCCGTTTTACTTCCGCCAGCTTCCGCCGCCATTCCGCCGCCTTGCGCCGAGAGAGAGGTGTGAACTTCTCAGTCCCTCGAAGGCGAGGGCACTCCTGGAGCGCCCAGTGTGGCCCCCCCCGATCCTTGTACAAGGCCACCTCCTTGCCGATCGCGCAATACTCCGCGAACGGGCCCTCCTGCACGCCCGCGATGCGGACCGAGACCGTGTCCGTGCCGGGCTCTGGCTTTGTCCAGACGTGGATGTTGTTTGCCTGCTGCCCCTCCTAACGTTTCATGTCGCGATTGCAGGTTGACTGGCCATCGCTTCCAATCCCCGCCATCATCCTCCTTCCAACGCCCCATCCCTTCCCTCATCTCCCCTCAATCGCGCCCAACATTCATCCCGTTTGTCACCTCCCGGAACCATCATTTCCTTCCTCCTGCTCCTCCACAATCTTCCAACCCTCTCATGGACCCCCTTGCAGCCCCAAGACACCTCTAGAGCACCGCAGAAACCACCAAAACACCAATACGCCCTCGTCTTACCTCCGTTACCTTCCCCATCCTCCCTGCTTCCCCTCTCTGCATCCCCCCCCCAAATCAGCCTTCTCCTCCTCGTCCTCATCCTCCTCCTCTTCGCTCACCTCCTCCACCTCCCCCCCCACCATCAACGCCATCAACACTAAATGCCACCATCACCACTGCCACCACCACCACCACCACCATCCTCGGCATCGTCATCATCATCATCATCATCATCATCAGCATCAGCATCAGCATCAGCATCAGCATCAGCATCATCGTCAACAACATCAACATCAACATCATCATCATCATCATCATCATCATCATCATCATCATCATCATCATCATCATCATCATCATCATAATCAACATCAGCATCACAGTTATCGGAATCATCGTCAGCATAATCATCACCTCCACCACCACCACCATCATCATCATCATCATCATCGTCATCATCATGATCATCATCATCAGCATCATCACAATCGTAAGCATCATCATCATCAGCAGCATCAGCAGCATCATCACAACCATCAGTAGCAGCATCTCAATCACCATCACAATCACCACCGCCATCAATTATCATCGGCTGCGGCAGCGTCACCGTCATCGCCAGCAAACTCATGCTCGCCAGTACCATTATCAGCAGTACCGTTCGCATCATCATCGCCATCGTCCTCGTCGTCCTCGTCCGAGTCGTCGTCATCATCGCCTTCATCATCACAAACAGCATCATCATCACCACCATCAATGTCGTCATCACTACAAGCATCATCGTCACCACCACCACCACCATGTTCATCACGTGAGCTCCCGCGCGCGCGGGGAGCCGAATGAGAGGGAAGGCAACAAAGACGAGGGTGAGAAGGAGGACAAACAAAGAAAAGGGATGGGGAGGAGTGAGGAGGGAAGGAGGGAGGGAGGGGGGGAGCGAGGGAGTGAGGAGGGAAGGAGAAGGAGGAAGAGGAAAAAAAAGAGGTGATCGGGGTCGGACGCAGCATTGCAGCAGTCCGTGTGCCGATCAGAGGAAGGTCGATCGGGCACAACTTCGAAAGTCCAGTACGAACGCCCCGCACGCCAGGTGCGGACCTCATCCCCCTTCGAAGGGGCACACGGACTCCTTCCCCTTCGAGTCAGAGCAAGACGAATACTAAGATGAGGAATTATATCAGACAAGGAGCACTTGGGCTGCCTGCGGAGACTTCTGTTGGGATGGGGTGGAGGAGGAGGAGGAGCATGGGAAGGAGGAGGAGGAGGCCTCCTTCTGCGACGTCCAGCCCTCGTCGTCGAGGAGGGCCAGCATGTCGTTGTTGATGAGCTGCATGTCCTCCACCAGCGCCTTGTACGCTGTGGTGCTCTGCACTTTGGCCAGGAGTTCCTTCTCCTCCTCTTCCTCCTCCTCGTCCTCCTCTTCATTGTCCAGCTCCTCCTCCTCCTCCTCGTTCTCCAAATCCTGCCTAGTCCCCCCTCCTACTCACCGTCCCTCCCCCTCCTCCTCCTCCGCCTCCTCCTCCTTCTCCTCCACTTCCTCCTCCTCCTCCTCCTCCTCCTCCTCCTCCTCATACTCCTGCTCCTCTTCCTCCTCATCCTCCTCGTCCTCCTTTCCATCATCATCACCATCACCATACTTACTTACCATCATCATCACCAGCATCATCATCATCATCATCATCATCATCATCATCATCATCATCAGCATCATAATCATCATCATCATCATCATGATCACCATTATCAACATCATCATCGTCGTCCTCATAATCATCAGTACCATCAACATCAGCATAACCATCATCATCAGCAGCAGCAGCACTATCATCAGTATCATATTTTGAGGTGTTCTGTGTTAATCTCTGCGGTGTTGGTCTGGTTGATGGTGTTTGGTGGTCGGAATCGGCCATCAGCTTTGGTGGCGCCGACCTGGGTGCGAGATCTGGGTGATCGCCCCTTACGGGGGGCTATCAGAACAAGCATCGACCGTTTTCTTCTGGCCCGAAGGGCCTTCAACCCAGCCATCGCATTGGATGTTTTTGGGGGCTCCCCAGAAGGGGTGCGCCCAAGGCTACGTGCACATGGGCTAAGGTACTCGTGCAATACAGCACAGTACGCATCAGCATAACATGAAAACGGCGAAGAGGAGGAGGAGGAGGAGGAGGAGGAGGAGGAAGGGAGGAGGAGGAAGGGAGGAGGAGTAAGGGAGGAGGGGAAGAGGGAAGTGGGTGAGAGGAAGGAGAGGGAGAAGGTGGAGGAGGAAGGAGGGGGGAAGGCGAGGGGGGGGAGGAAGGGAAACCAGAGCGATGCCACTCCTTCCCCTCTCCCTTCTTACTTCCCCCGTCCCCCTCCTACTACCCCTCCCCCTCTCATCGCCCCCTTGGTCCTCTTCATCATTCCTGCTCCTCCTTTGGTTCAGGGCAGGGCGCACGGGAGAGTGCGGCAAGCCCCTTTAGGCGGCGAGCCTGCGCTGGACCTCAGTCCAGAAAGCCTTCGGGATGTCGTCGACGGACGCTCCCCTCGCCGTCATGGCGTCGATGTTCCGCTGCACCACGTGACCGGAGTTCGCCGTCTGATCCTTGACCGCCTGGGCGAAGGAGGCCGTCGTGAGTGCGACGCTTGCCTTGGCGCAGATCGTGCCCCAACGCTTGACCCCGTCTGCCTTCCCGGAACCGTCGGCCCAAGTCCGCGCAGGCCATGTGGAAGGTTGCTTTCTTGACTGTGAGTGTCTTCAGGCGGCCTTTGATCCTGTTCGCGATGCCGAACTGCTTGTATAGGGTCGCTTTCAGATGCGAGTCGAGCTCGCTGAAGTCGTCGCTGCCGATTGTATCCGTCCAAGTAGTGAGAGCCGTCCTGCATGCCGCATGCCACCCGCGATGGCCTTTAGCGCATCAGCGATCTGGTCGGCGTCTAAGAACGCCGTATCCCTGGCCATGGTCTTGTAACACGCCATGGCCTTCTCGGCGGTGGGAACGCAGCCAGCGACCTTGCGGGAGAACTCCTCAAAAATGTCGCCGCCGTACTTCCTGAGCAGCTCGTCCTGCCCGTGCGAGTTCATGCTGGGCAGCACCATCACCGCTGATTCAAACTGGTCGAATGCATCTTCGGTCGAGGTCTCAAGCGAGCCCTGGGCACCACCCACCGTCGTGAAGTTGTCGAGTTGCTTCGATGCTTGGTAGTAGTTTTCGGCATCGTCGATCCTGAGCTGATCCCGCGCTTCATCAGAGTGAATTCGGGACCATCGCCGATCGCATCTTTCAACAAGGTGGCAACGCGGTAACGGTCGAACGATTGGTAGAACAATTCGCCCATGTCACCTCTCTGCAAGACCGCGCCAACATCAGCCACCATCAAGACCGGAATTTTGTTGACGAGCTGGCAGGCCGCCTTGGCGAGCTCCTCGCACGCTGGCGTGGTCTCACAGCGGGCGGCCTTGTTGCTGTCGATGGTGGTCGTGAGCAGGGAGAGCGTCGCGTCGTCGGGTCGGTCGTTGTAGGCCTTGGCTGCGATGATGAGCGCCGATTCCTTCCTTTCACCTTCGACGTCGCTGCGTCGCTTCAGGAGGTCGTTGTAGGCGGAGCCCAGCTTGCACCCCTCCTGGCCCAGCGCGAAGTTGGCGATCTCGGAGTACCGCTGCATGTGCTTCTCCATCGTGTCCATGATGGACGCGTCCACGACCTCGGGATCCTGCTCCACGAGCGTTTTGGTCATACGTGCGATCGTCTCCTGGAGCGCCTTTCCTGCGTTCATCGTCGAGGCCACCTTCCCACGACACGCCTTCCTCCACTGGCATGGCTATAGTGTCATGTCATCCTCGTCAGGGTCCGCGCTATACAAGGTCATTTTCATCCCCGCAATCTTCGGGGCGGCCTGGATGTCCGTCGCTGCGGCCCCGCGGAACACTGCTCGTGCCTCGGCCCAGGGCTCGTTTTTTTGCCGAGCGTCTCACATAGCGGATGCCACTCTTCATCAGCGGTGGCCCCAGTAATAAGATCGATCAACAAGGGCATCTGCGAGCCGCACTCGGCAAACGACTGGGGTCCATATTCGGCAGGTGGTGCAACAGTAGGCCCACGCCCTTCACGATGCGGTAGTACTCCTTCACGCCGGTGCTCTGGGTCGGCTTCACTCGCGAGAAAACTTTGACCAAGGAGCGGCCGAAGTCACGAAGGTACTCGATCTTGGAGCTGCCCGCCAGGGCAGGTAGCACGACGCAATCCAGCAAGATCTCGCGCGACACCGTGATCTTCGAGTCGATGTCGCCCGTCACGCTCGCCAGGGTGGGCTCAAACATGCTGAAGGCACCAGCGTTGGGGTCCCATGGCATGAGGGCCTCCGCTATTGCGTCGACTGGAGGATCGGCCAACTTCAAGTACTTGCTGAGGAGGTCCGTCGAGAAGCTGAACGACTCCAAGGCGTCCTCGTGCGACAGATCCCCAAAGTGAGTGCTGATCTGCCCCCGCCCCTTATGACACATGTCGGTCACTAGCGTCGACGCTGCGTCGGCCTTCTTGCACAAGTTCTCGGCCATGATCGCGATGCTCGGGGACGTGGGTTTGAACCGCTTCAGGGAGTACACCTTGTCCCAATTGGGCAGGCCGTCCAAGATCTGGCTAATGACTACGTCTTCCTTCATCGCCTCGTCGCGCTGCATATTGTGAACCGCGGCCGAGCCCGCTGCCTTCGGAGTGGTCCTGCGGCCCTGGGTCCCGATCAAATTTGGCAGGCTCATCGCGGGCGACCTCGAACGGTCGCGAGCTCCTGCCACCGACCGCGCAGGGCCAGGTGGCGACCCCATGTCCGTCAGCACCCTGGTCGGCCGCCTCCGGATTGGTGGGGCCGATGCTGGCCCCGCCATGGGAAGACTAGGCGCAGGGCTTGCAAGGGCACTCGCTGCACTGGCGCCCCGGCCCCCGCCGCCGCTCGACACCGCCTGGACCCTGGCGGCTGCGTGACGCGACGCCTCAGCCAGGGCCCCCGCATCGGCAGCTGCGCCTCCAGAGCGGTCGCTGTTCACGCTCGCGCCGGCGAGGGCCGCCATCTGGAGGGGAGGGCCACTGGGCCGAGCGTCCATCTGCACGAGCCCTGCATCGCGGGCCTTCTCAAAGGCCCGGTCCTTCTCCTGGCTCGAAGTGGGGGCCTTCGCGAAAGATGGTAGCCTGCTTCGGCCTGACCTTCGCGATCTCCTTCCTGAAGACCTCCATGTTCCCGCCGGCCTTGGCGACCTGCGATGCGTGAATCTTTATGGTCGACATCTTGACCTCTGTGCGGGAGTAGTTCTGAATATCCGTGCACGGCTTGTCGGGGGTGCTGCGCGACGACGCCCGTGCTGGATGCCCCAGGCTGGGTGCTGCTCGGCGCCCGAGTCTCCTCCACCTTGGCGAACTCTGGAGTGATCCCCGCGATGCCAGGTGGGTTTTCTTTCTCATTCCACTGCTGCTGCGTGAGCTGGACGCTCACCTTGGAGACCTCCCGGCCGTAGAAGACGTCGACCTCGACCGAGCCGTTCTCCGACTGCGCCGGGGAGAGGGCCTCCGCAAGCTGGCGGCCTGCCTCGATGTGCTTCTCGAAATCCTCGTTGAAGGACGGGTCTGCGCGGCACCTCTCGTCGCAATCCTGCCGCGGCATGTCCTGCTGGATGTGCCGCTCGAACGTCACGCAGCACCGGTCGCAGCCGCGGAGCGCGTGTTCGCTGCGACCAGCCGCGGCGCCGCGGGCGCAGGCAGCGGAATCCAAGGGCCCATCGCAGCGCCTACGCGCCGCTGCCTTCGAGCCAGCCCCCTTGGACTGGCGCGCGCGGCGAGGCGCCTTCGACTGCGGGAACTCCTCGACACTGGGTGTTGCGCGCCGCACGCCGCCCGCCATCGCTGGTGGAAGCTGGCAGCTGGCGCGGCTGCGTCCTCCCTCAATAGTTGGCCGCCCTCGTCGGGGCTGCTTCTGGCCAATTGTGATCTCGCCGCTGCCTCAACCGAGCCAAAATGAGCATGATGAGATGGAAGGCGAAGGACATGAGGGGTCGCGGGGCCATGGGGAGCGAAACCTCGGGGGTTGAATGAGGCCACGGCGTCGCCGTGCGCGCGGGGGGCCACGGGTTCAGCTTGGCCAAGAGGGCAGGGGGCGACGCCATAGATCGGCAAGTAGTGGGGCCCCCCAGGAGGGCCCGCTAGGCTCGGAGTGGTAAGCCGAGAAGGACGGGTCGCAGACCAACGAAACTTCTGAATACAATACATGACTGACGCGCGTGGTGTCGGACCTTAGGATCGCGATGGAAAAACGTGTCCATGCGATGATCATAGCTTGCTCGCCCGTTTGTTCTAGTTCCAAGAGGTTGTTAGGATAATTCTCGGAGGGCTCATTACAGTTGCAAACGTAATGGAACATTTCATAGCACGGCAGATCCGATCACAAACTCGCACAGGATAGCATAGCGCATCGTAGCTCAGCCCATCCAGACTAAGGTAAATCCCATGCGCAACATAGCTCAGCCAAAGTATCAGCATAGCGTCGCGTATCATTGCAAAGCTTGTCCCGCTGAGTAGCTCAGCCGATCATGGTATATAATGGAAACTCACACGTATTTCGGCCCATGCCAGCCCTGGGAAGCACAGCTGACCTCAGCAAAGCATAACATAAACATGCCTAACACGGACTTCCCAATCCAAGGGGGTTACATGGGCACCCACGGGAGGTACATGGGGGTGCACATGGGCACCCAAAGGGATTGCACAATCACGGTACCTGGGCGGGGGGCAGCCCGCGCGTCGGAAAGACATCGCGTTGCAGACGATGGCGCCGACGACGACGTCGACGAAATTACGACGTTGGCGGAGAACAGGATGAGGGAAGGAGGGATGTCCCAGGCCATCGGCCCTGAGCAGGAGCATCAGCACGGCGCTCTGTCGAAAGATGAGGCCTCTTCGGCGAGCACGGCGAAAGCCCTGGCAGCTCTCCTCACTTAGTGGAGGGTGGCGAGGCGAGGGGGAAGCAGGCAGATGTAGGATCAGGACGGGAATGGGATGCTGAAGCGGGGGGGGGGGGGGCAGGCAGCTTGGGGCGGCAGCGCGCTGAAATAAACAACTCCGGTGGGCTCCGCGATGCACCGCGCTCAAGACGAGTCCGAATCTGACGTGGGTTCGTCCTGTAGCTTCTTCATGTGACTGTCATGGCCCTGCTTGATCTCACTGTCACCGTCCTTCGTGATCTTCAGGGCGTGGCCCAGCATGTCGGGCTTCGACAGAAGAGCTCGGAACATGTAGCCCTTGGCCTTGGCAACGTACGTCATGAGTTTCATCCGCTTGCCCCTCTTGCGGCAGCTGCGCTTGGCCTTTGGCGCTTCATTGCGAACCCGTTTCGGTTGGCACGGGCGAACCACGGTTGACAGAAAAGCTCGGGCAGCGAATTGCTGTGGGACGGCCTGCAGAAGAAGGTGCCTTGAACCAACGGTCGCAACAGGCACCCGCGGCTCCATGGAGGGCGGGGCCAAGGAGGGGGCCGAGAGGCGGTGCTCCTGGAACGCGCCATCGCCGATGCGGCCAACGACCCGATCAGGGTGCTGGTGGCCCCACGACTGCCTACGGTGGCCCAGAAGGCCCATGGTGGCACCCAAGACAATCTATGATGGACCCAAGGCAGACCATGATTGCCCCAAGACGGTCTATGATGGCACCAAGACAGCCGATGATGGCCCCAAAACAACCGATGGTGGCCCCATAGACGGCCGATGGTGGCCCCAAGGCAGCCTGATGGCCCCAAGACAGCCGACGGTGGCCACAAGACAGCGCGTGGTGACCCCAAGACAGCCCACGGTGGCCCCAGGACAGCCTGTGGCTGCCCCAAATGTAACACAGGATGGCCCCATGGCAGCCTATGAGGGCCCAGGGCAGCCTCTGATGGCCCCGAGACAGCGCACTGTGGCCCCGAGACAACCTACGGCGGCCTCAAAACAACCGACGGTGGCCCCAAGGCGGCCTATGATGGCCCCAAGACAGCCTATGATGGCCCCAAGACAGCCTAAGGTGGCCCGAGAGCAGCATGTGATGGCCCCAAGACAGCCTATGATGGCCCCAAGACAGCCTATGGTGGTCCCAAGGCAGCATTCGGTGGCCCCTCAGACAGCATATGCAGGACAGCCTACGACGGCCCCGAGACAGCCTAAATTGACACCAAGAATACCAATGGTGGTCCCAAGGCAGCCTACCGCGAGCTGAAGACAGCCTCTGGTGGCCGCCAGAAGACCTACGGTGGCCAGAAGAAACCCGATGATGGACTCCACAGGGCAAGTTTTTGCAGAGGCCATCGCCGATGCGAAGCTCAGGGAAAGTATAAGTCCGTCATGGAGAACACATCGTGGTATGCACGGCCCGCTGTCGGGTGGGGCCACATGGTCGAAGCCCATGTGTGTGTGTGCGTGTGTGTGTGTGTGTGTGTGTGTGTGTGTGTGTGTGTGTGTGTGTGTGTGTGTGTGGGGGGGGGGGGGGGGGGGGGGGGCGCGCGCGCGCATGGCCACGCGGCCATGGGCCGCGGCCACGCAGGCGGCGCGCGGAGCGCGAAGGACCCACGAGAAACTCACCGTGGACGTGAGCGGGACCTTATGAGCGGGATCCTGCGGGGCATGGGCCGAAGGGCCCACTCCGACTCTTTCCTCCCGCGCTTGGCCAATTCCTCATGGTCGATGCCCAACAGCGCCCAGCAGTCATGTCTGGGTATACCCGGGCGCCGGCAGAGCCCGTTGGCACGGCCGCGTGCAGTCTGCGCGGTCGGTTCCACCAATGAAATTTACGTGGGGGCTTGTGGGTGTTCGGGTCTACGAAGCGCAAGCTCCCGTGCACCCCATGCAAGACCGCGCGCGCGGTGCCAGTTTTTGCGACAGCATCGCAACATCATGCGCGGTGGTGGGTGGGCCATCATGAGCGGCCCTGAGGCCGCGCAAGGCAACCTGGGCGAGCGACCCATGAGCTCGGCGCGGGCAGCTGATGGGCGACCTACGGTCGTGCAAGGCCCACGCTTAGCATTCGGCCAGGCCGCGCATCCGACCAAGAGGCGCCCGCCGATCCATGGCGGGCGTGGCAGCCTGGCTTCGGCTGTGCCTTGCGCTGGGAGAAGGGCGCGACACGCGTGGCGCGACCTGCGCTGCCGAATCAAGGCGTAGCGCACGCGGCGCAACCGCCGCTGCGAAATCCACCAGAAACGACCTGGCGGGCCCCGCGGGCCAGGCCTTATGAGCGGGGACCTCTGGCGCCCCAGTGAAGCCCCTGGGTGGCCCCCAATGAGCGCGCGCAGTCGATGCCGCCTTGGGCCCTGGAAGGATGTGCTCAGCGCGCTCGTCCGAGGCCGCCTGGTGCCCTCGTGGGCGGAGGGGGATGGGGGATGGGGTGGTTGTGTGCGCGCGCGTGTGTGTGTGTGTGTGTGTGTATGTGTGTCTGTGTGTCTGTGTGTCTGTGTGTGTGTCTGTGTGTGCGTGCGTGCGTGTCTGCGTGTGTGGGTGCGTGTGTGCGTGTGTGTGTGGTGTGTGTGTGTGTGTGTCTGAGTGTGTGTGTGTGTCTGTGTGTGTGTGTGTGTCTGAGTGTGTGTGTGTGTGTGTGTGTGTGTGTGCGTGCGTGCGTGCGTGCGTGCGTGCGTGCGTGCGCGCGTGCGCCCGTGCGCGCGCGCGTGCGTGCGTGCGTGCGCTTGCGTGCGCGGGTGCGTGCGTGCGTGCGTGCGCGCGCGCGTGTGTGTGTGCGCGCGTGTGTGTGTGTGTGTGTGGTGGTGTGGTGGTGGTGTGGTGGTGGTGGTGGTGTGTGTGTGTGTGCGTGCTTGCGTGCGTGCGTGGTGTGCGTGTGCGTGTGGGCGTGTGTGCGGTGGTGCGTGTGCGTGTGTGTGCGTGTGTGTGTTGTGTTGTGTGTGTGTGCGTGTGCGTGTGCGTGTTGCGTGTGCGTGTGCGTGTGCGGTGTGTGCGTGTGTGTGTGTGTGTGTGCTTGTGGTGTGCGTGTGCGTGCGTGGTGCGTGTGTGTGTGCGTGTGTGTGTGCGTGTGCGTGTGCGTGCGTGCGTGTGCGTGTGTGCGTGCGTGCGTGCGTGCGTGTGTGCGTGCGTGTGTGCGTGGGTGTGTGTAAGTGTGTGTGTGTAAGTGTGTGTAAGTGTGTGTGTGTGTGTGTGTGCGTGTGTGTGTGTGTGTAAGTGTGTAAGTGTGTGTGTGTGTAAGTGTGTGTGTGTGTGTGCGTGTGTGTAAGTGCGTGTGTATGTGTGTTGTGTGTGTGTGCATGCGTGTGTGTGTGCGCGCGTGCGTGTGCGTGCGCGCGCGGCCGCGACCGCTCGGGCTACCGCCAGGGGGGTGCGAGCGGGGGCGTTCAAAGCCATGGGAATCCAGCGGGCCCGCGCGGGCGCGCAGCGCGCGCGGCCGAGGCCCCTTCGCGACCGCCCAGGGGCCCCGAACACCCGCGCGATCGGCCAGGGATTGATGTCGCGGCAGCACCCAAGCAACGTCGCGCCCGATGGGCCCCCGCTGCCAGGGCGCCCCCCAGCGGCGCGCAGCGCGCGCCCGCGATCCCGCGGCGCGGCGGCCGTGCTCGAACGAGGGCGCGCGGCCAGAGAGTGATCTCGCTTGCGCCGCGCTCCGCGGCGAGAGGGCACCCCGCGGGGTCGTCCGCGCTGCCGCGGCCGATTCGCAAACAGAGCGGCGACCGACGAACGTCGGCCGCCACAGGCGCCGCGGGCGTCCGCTACGCCAGCGGCGCCGATGTCTGCCACCTGCGAATTCGGACGCGCGATGCAATCGCCGCCGCGGGCCCGCGTCGGCTGGGGCGGCGCGGGCGGCCGCGTCCGCGGCAGGCAATGGCGGCGGCGCGGCGCCGTTCAAAACTGACAAACGCATGCGGCGCGCTTTGCACGC